TACACCTTGCTATCTTAGATTCTCCAGCATCTGCAATTCCTACTATCTCAGAAAGAAAAATGACTGTGTTTCTTGGAGGTCAGTCATCTTGGCTCCGGATAATTATTGCAGGAGGTCCTCAGAATAGTGCCCTTGGCCGAACCATCTTCAGCTTCTTCATCAATGATCTTCCCTGTCATATGGTCAGAACTGGGAATGTTTGTTGATAATTGCATAATGTTCAACAGCATTCATGACACAAAAACTGAACCAATGTCCAAATGCAGCAAGACCTGCCTATTCCAGGTCTGGGTTTACAAGAGTCAAGTAATATTCCAGGAGTTACCATTGATCAGAAATTAAATTGGACTAGCCATGTAAATAATGTGGCTACAGAGCAGTTGGGGAGCTGGGAATCCTGCAGCAAGGAACTAAGCTCCTAATTCCCCAAAGCATGTCCACAGGAGTGTGAAGGAGTACTCCCCACTTGCTTGGAGGAATGCAGCTCCTAAACCTTTCAAGAAGCTCAACATCATCCAGGACAAAACAGTCTGTTTGATTGACACCACATTTACAAGCATTCATTTGCTCCACAATCAATCCATGGTACTTTAAGCATGTACCATTTACAAGATGCACAGCAGGAACTCTCCAAGGCACCTTAGATATTACCTTTCAAATACATAACCACTATCACTTAGAAGAACAAGAGCATCAAATACATTGGAGCACCTTCACCTACAAGATCTCCTCCAAGCCACTCACCATCCTGACTTAGAAAAATGTCATTCCTTCTGTGCTATTGGGTCAAAATCCTGGAACTTCTTTCATGAAATGGACTGCAGTAGTTCCAAGAAGGCAGTTCACCAGCACTTTCTCAAGTGACTAAGGATGGACAAGAAATGTTGGCCTAGCCAGTGATGCCCACTTTCCATAAAATAATATCTTACATTTCCCACTTATGAATAACACTTAAATTTTGAAGTTTCTACATCATAATATAAAGCCTCTTGACCCTGGGATTGTCTCTGTCAATCTCTTCTGTATCCTTTTTAGGCTGCAACATCCTTCCTAATGCTCAGAATTGTAAATTCTAACTGTAACTTGATTAAATGATTTGTAGAGACTTGGCATTTCTTTTTTGCTGCTGGTTGCTCTACATTTTCTTTTTAAAATATATTATGATCCCATGTGCTTTCAATTTTTAAAATACGTCCTGATGAAGAAATTTACCCTTTTATGAAGGGAGCTGATAGAGGTTTGCTGTTTGAGTAATCTGAAAAACAAGAATAAAAATGAAGTTGTTGGTTGCATTGCCCTTGGATTGGTGCCTTCTGTCTGGGGGCCCATGGTTGCAGCCAATTGTATTCAGCGGCAGCCAGCCCAAGGTGCCTTTTTGATTTGGAGATAGGGCTAATTTATGTGGTCATTCTGACCTTTTACACCATCAGCTTCTGCTGTCAGTCAAACCTATGAATGCAAATGATGTTAATCATTAGCTTGGTATTGTGCATTAAGAGTTCCTTGAAATTATGCACATTGGCATTTGTGACTCCATGTGCCCTAATCTGTGACAATAAGTATTGCACATGCATTTGGTCCTTAAATATAATTCTCATAACTCCCCATAAAAAAAAGCAATCAGGTTGTTTGATCTATTGTTTATCCTTCCATTTTCCTTTTCCCAAATGTCCTATCTTCACTTGATAGTTCAGCATCATTAGTTGTACTGTCAGTGAATCCAGTAATGGCAAGATTTTGGAATATACTGTTGCTCCTGAACACCTAAATAGCCTAACGCAAGGGCTATTAAGAGTAAAGACCTCTCATTGTGTGCACTGGATCCTATGATCTCTGATGCAATGCTATGTACACTGCTCTATCATTGGAAGTGTTAACCAATGAGCATTCAAGTGAGACCAGGCTGATTGTGAATCAGTGAACTGATTTGTTTTACTTGTATTACATAAAAATGGTCATTTTATTTTACATAGAATATGAATGAATGATACATAGTTTTAGGTGAAGTTGAATCATCACCTTAATATAACGAGGAAAATAGCATTGTCCATGCTTAGTTGGACATTTTAGCAAAATCTAATAATATCCTTGCTTTCCATGTGTTGGAACTTCCTTGGCAAACTGTCAATCAAACTGCTTTGTATGAGAGAACCTCTGGTAAAGGAGATATGATGGGTGTTTAGCTGACACACCTTTTGGCAATTCTGGGCATCAATTCAACAGGTGACAGCATCTTTCAGTTGCTGAATATTTCCCATTGTGTCAAACAAATTTGATGCGTGAGCAACACAATGATGACACAACTGACATTCCAGCTTCTTTGTGCTGAACAAAATCCCAAATAACTTGAATGATTCAGTGACGTAAATTCAATTTCACAGCAACAGCAAATATAAAAACCTTTTCAGGTAAATTTTGGGATGTGACTTAATTTTTTCTTTTAAAACCTTCCAATTATTCAACCAGTGAACAAGTTATTTGTTTCTTTATCCTAGCCCGAGGATTAGGTTAACTACCATCGTTATCACTTCAACTAAATTGCAGAGGAAAGTAACACAAGACTGAGAAGAAAAGTGACAGATAATATCTCTGCTTAATGTTAACTTTCTGAAACAATAGCAACTTATACTTATGTAGTAAAAAGAAACCAGATAATGAACATTAATAATAGGTACTATTCCACAGCTGGAGTTTAACCAAAGAGAATACGAATCATACCATCAGCAATTAACAAATATTAAGAGGGCAGTTCTGCAATATGTAACTGACATTAGGGGCATGCATTGCAGGGGACAAATTGGTCTTGGAACACACCAAATAAGGGGCACACAACTCTCCGACTGTGCAGTAATGAACTCAGGCACCTATGCATGATAAAAGAGAAATGTATATAGATGTTAATGTTTACTGCAGAGGCTGGGACAGCAGTATGCCATCCAATCCTTGAGGATGATTACGAAGTCACCACTGACAGCATACTGTCAATGCAATATCTGTCATTGATCCCATAATTTTATGCCACTTGCATCCTCTGGACATGTTGGGAGTTAATGCATCTATTTGGCTTTGGACATTTGACATTCCATGAACATGTATGGAAGAAGATAGGGGGCCATCTAATTTACCATCTATCATCCCAAAATTACATGACATAAAATTTATGAAGTTATAGATATTGCTTTCTATGATCAGTCAATTAGTTACTCTATACTGACCCTCACTGACAAGAAGAAAATTTCCAGTAGTTGTGTATTTTGTGAACCAGAGGTCCAAATATGTTATAATCTATTTTGCAAAGTTTTGTGAATTTCTTTATACTCTCATCAATTTGTCACTTCTGATGTCATCTACATGTCATGCCACTATGTGCCCCCAACATTGTCTGCATCACAGTACTAAATGCTCAGCTAGTTAATGGAGTTGCACCATTGGCTGGCAGCAAGAGCTATAGAAGCCCTGTATTTTCAAGTACATTCAAAGAACCCTGGCCCCAAGAAGAGTCTCTTAAGGTAGTGTACTTATTGCTTTCTGGGGCATTTCCTGAATGCTCTTGTGCATATTTCATTTTCAGACCAATCAACTTTGAGGCCGTATTTTTCATCCACTAGCGCCTCAGTGAAATGTAACAAGAACCATGGGAAATTATTTCTATAAGAAACAGCTACCCCTACAGTTTCTAATTATGTCCTCACAAATTAAGATTTTGTCTCTGAAAAGAGCATTTTAAGCTGTGTCAGACTAAAACAAAATATTTAAAATAAATGAGGATGTCCAAATCCAATTTTTTTACTTCTGAATTGCATTGTTGTAATGTAGTGTAATGAAACATTAACCAGCTCAGCACAAATGTCCTATTGCTGGACCAGGGATGATTAAGTTGAATGCTTAAACATCTGTTGACAGAGAGGAGCGAATTGATGTGATGAATGAGTAAAGTTTAACATAGTATGGATTTTTCGAACAGTAGAATCATAGAATCCAAGCAGTGTGGAAAGAGGCCATTCAGCCCTTTGAGTCTGCAATGATCCTCTTAAGAGAATCCCACCAAACAGTCCCCTGCCCTATCGCCATAACCCCACATTTACCATGACAAATACACTGAGCCTGCACATCCCTAGACATTATGGACATTTTAGCATGGCCAATCCACCTAACCTGCACATCTGTGGGCTGTGGGAGGAAACCAGAGCACCAAGTGGAAGCCTATGCTGACATGCAGAACATGTAAACTCCACAAAAACATTTACCCAAGAGTGGAACTGAACTTGGGGCCCCTGGCCCTGTAAGGCAGCAGTGCTAGCCACTGTGCCACCCCCAAGTGCACTGGTGCTAATACATGTACTGATAATAGTGAACGTTTTACTAATAAAAGCATAACACTGATTGTTGGAAATCTGAAATAAAAAACAGAAAATACCTAAGGAACTCAGCAGGTCTGCCAACTGTGGAGAAAGAAATGATATTAACATTGAGTCCGCTATGAACAGAAATCATGTTAAATTTGAAATGTTTTATTTTGTTTCTATCCACAGATGCTGCAAGACCTGTTAAATTTCTCCTGCACTTTGTTTTTATTTCTAACTTTAATTTTGCTTCTGTCTTGCAGGTAGAGCCATCCTTGAGCCATTCTGAATATCCAGTGTCTGATAAACTGTCTTAAAGAAACAACACAAGTTTAATGGCAGAAGGAGGACTCAACTGAGGGGGTGGGGTTGGTGCTTTGTAGAGGTTGAAGACTTCTGCCCCTGCTTCCCTCTTCAACAGTGTTGCTATTCATCATGGCCAGCAAAAGAAAGTCTACAACTCCTTGTATGATACCGGCCAAATCCCTGACCATGCACGAAGCAGAAATGGACATTACTCCAGAATACAACGATGATGATGAAGCCTCGCCACAAGCATTTCCTGTTGAGGACCTTTCTGCTAGCGAGGAGGCATTCACAGTGATCAGTAATAATGACGTTCAAGAACGTGGTGGTTTTGAATGCAAGTACTGCAATTACACAAGTCAGGACTACCACACATTTACTGTGCATATAGAATCAGAGCACTCTGACGCAAGTGTGGACCAACTTTACGTCTGTGTTGAGTGTAACTTCAGTGCCAAGAGTCAAGAGTCTCTGACAGTGCACAACACCCTGAGCCATCCTAATGAGGCCAACCTGAAAGTGAGTGTCATAAAAAAGAACAGCCAGACAGTTCTTGAGCAGAGCATCACTGAGACCAAAAACAATGACGGAAAAGAAAATGGAGAGGAAGCGGAAATGCAGTCGGAAATCTCCATTAGCAAAACGCCTATCATGAAGATGTTGAAGGCCAAGCCGGAAGGCAAGCGGATCACCGTCTCTCATGCTGGGAGGGAAGAATCCAACGATGAAGGAGGGGCGACTGATGAGGCTGTGAAAAAGAATGAGAGTGGGGATGTAGTGGAGGTTCTGTCTGCCAATGGTCTGACAACACCTTCTCATACCGTCAATGGAACAGCCGTCGTATCTGTGCCTGTCCTGCAGGCGGGCGTGACACAGTTAGTCCCTGTCATACAACGGCCAGCATCCAACAACAGCTCTAGCCCTCTTCCCAAAGTCATGATCCCGTTGAGCAGCATCCCTTCATACAACGCCGCCATGGACTCCAACAGCTTCCTCAACAACTCCTTCAACAAGTTCCCCTACCCTTCGAAGGCTGAACTATGCTGGCTGACTGTGGTGACCAAGTACCCGGAGGAACAGCTCAAAATCTGGTTCACTGCCCAGCGGCTGAAGCACGGCATTAGCTGGACGCCGGAGGAAATCGAGGACGCCCGCAAGAATATGTTCAACACCATCATCCAGAGTGTGCCTCAGCAGACCATCACGGTGCTGCCCACCCAGGTGACCCATGCCAATGGAGGGCAGCATGTGCTGCAGGCCAACTTCCCTTGCCAGTTACTGACCCAGGGGGGCAACATTGTGGTCACCCAGCCTGGCGGGGTGGTGAAGGGAGCCACCATGTCGGGCGCTCCAGTTGCGGTCAGCCTCGCCACCCTCCCCAAACCGCAGAACTCCTCCAAGTTTCAGGTACAGAAGGCAGGGGGCTCGGTAGTTGGTTCCAATGTCAAGATTTTGGCCGCTCCCCCCTCGACAGCGGTCCAGCCGGGGGCAGCCGCCGTCACGTCCAGCCACCTCTCCACCACCAGCCTGATTTCGGAGTTCGGCACCTACAAGTACAAGAAAACGAAGGAGCAGCTGGCCGCCTTGAAGCAGAGCTTCCTGCGGAATCAGTTCCCGGAGCACGAAGAGGTCGACCGGCTGGTGAGGGTCACCGGGCTGCAGGGCAAAGAGATCCGCAAGTGGTTCAGCGACCGACGCTACAACTACAAGAACCTCAAGTGCAACCAGCCCTTCGACGCCGGCACCGCCAACGCCGTTTCCGTCGAGCCGGCCCCTGAGGAGACATCCACCCCGCCGCCTCCACCTCCGCCGGCTGGCCCCCAATCGTCGCCGGCCCCCCAGGCCCGCCGCCAGTGGCAGACCAGCTCCGACTTCACCCCACCCAAGTTCAAGGGCAAGTCGGCCGAGCAGCTGAGCGCCCTGGAGCACAGCTACGCGCAGAACCCCTTCCCGGCCGAGGAAGAAGTCGACCGGCTGCGGGCTGAGACCAAGATGACCCGGCGGGAGATTGACCTCTGGTTCGCCGAACGGCGGAAAGCCAAGCCCGACGACAGAGCCGCCAAGGCCCGGCGGCGGGCCGAGGAAGGCGGCGGGCGGGCGGACGCCGACTCCGGCGAGGAGGAGGAAGCGGAGGAGGACGAGGACGACGACGACGAGGAGGAGGAAGAGTCGGACGGCGAGGGGACGCCAAGCGACAGCAGCTCGGTGGACATGAAGCGGTTGATCGTGGCCCCGGAGAGGCTCAAGGTGAGCCCCTTGAAGGTTTGCGCGAGGGACGGCTCGGGCACGTGCGGGCCGCAGCCCAAGGCCGGCAAAGCGTCGCAGCCGCCGGGCGCGTCGCCGCCCAACCCGGTCAAGTACAAAGGCCAGAACAAGAAGACGGTGCACCAGCTGCACCTGATGAAGCTGCAGTTCATGCGGACCCAGTGGCCGACCGTTGAGGAGTATGACGAGCTGGCCATTAAGTCGCGACTGCCGCGCACCGAGGTCGTCCGCTGGTTCGGCGACGCGCGCTACGCCCTGAAGAACGGCCAGCTGAAGTGGTACGACGACTACAAGAAGGGGATCTACGCCATCCGCTCGGGCAGCAACAGCCTGATCAGTGACGTACCATGTGACGGTTACCGGCCCAAACGGACGCCTTCGAAAAAGGGCGGGAAGGCGGTGCTGTTCGAATACTACACGCAGCACCGCGCGCTACACGAGGAGGACCTCGACCGCCTTTGCGAGCGCTCCAGCATGAGCTACGAGCAGGTCCGTGACTGGTTCGCCGAGAAGCAGACCGAGGACGCCATGTACATGTCCGACTTCAGCAACGAGGACCAGCAGTCGACCAACGGCGAGGCCGACAGGGCCGAGAAGGCCAGGGGAGCGCCGCGCTTGACGGCCTCCGCCTCAGCCGCCTCCTCGGCCTCAGCCGCCGCCGCGGTGGAGGAGGCCTACTCGGACGTGACGGACAACAGCGACAACTGGGATGCGCCGTCGACGCGGGAGGGCCAAGCCGAGCTGAACGAGTTCGACACCGAGAACGTCTCCGGTGAGGCCTGAAGTGCGGACCAGCGCGGTTTTCAGTAAAAGCTAGGGTTGATTTTAAAAAGAGATGTGGAAGAAATATAAAACAAGGGACTGGTCTCTCGCCGTGGGTGCCCGAATGGTACCGCTCATGGAGTGGCTCAAGACTAGGATGCTTCTGAGATGAGCCCCTCAAAAGGCACAAAACAGACAAGTGCTGGAGAAACTCAGCAGGTTTGTTAGTGGAGAGAATAAAACGAAAGTTAACGTGTCGAGTCCCGTGACCTTGCTGTTTATCCCTTATTTAAAAGTCAATACTTAATCTACCCCTACCATTTTTTCAGACAATGCATTCCAGATCATAATAGGTTGTTATAATAAGTTATCCAAACTTTGCCAACCAAGCTACTATAGAAGGCTAAAATGGCCACCAAATTCAAAGTGATTATTATCCTTTTCCATTCTGAAGGATTTTAATTGAGCCGATTGTTATGAGTTTCTGTTAAAAATATCTTAGAATGTGACATTTCCCTTGAAGTTTGTACAAAGCAATCCATTTCTTATTTTGCATGATTTGGCATCATGGAATTACAGGTTACTGTCAGTTTTTTGCTTTCTCTCACTTTTAAAGTAGCGTTGAGTTCTGCGTTGCTGGGTATGGTGATGTAGTGATCATGGTAGCGGACCAACAAACCAGGCAGTGTGTGTACAAATTCTACTGTAGCATGTAAGATCGATATACAGGTCGTTTGTGGGAGTAAAATGGCCATTGAAGTTTCTGTATTGACCCTCCCAAATGGGGTCACTGTTGTTCTTCAGGGAAGGGATCCTGATACTTCTTAATCATAAAGAAACACAAAAGTGGCAAGTCTGTGGGAATACCTTTTTTTAAAATTATTCTTTCATGGGATGTAGGCATAACTGAATGGACCAATTTGTAGTACCCATCCCTAAACGCCCTTGAGAAGGTGGTGGTGAAAAGCCTTCTTGAACTTTCCTTGTATGTACCGTAGGTATTCCTCTATCCAGCTTCTTCTCCAAGTTGCACAAATTATGACGTGCACCTAAGTCGATTATTCTTTGTTGGGTCAAAATTCTGGAACTTCCTACATAAGTGTCCTCAGCACACACAATACACTGGTACTTGAAAGTTCACAATCACCTTCTCGAGCAGCTAGGAGGATGGTTAATAAATGCCAGCTTTCAGCAGCACCCGCATCCTGAGAATGAATGAAATATGACTTATTTATATATCCTGAAGAACAGCAATGTCGGATTCGAAATATTAACTCTCTTTCTCTCTCCACAGATGCTGCAGACCTGCTGCGTTTCTCGGCATTTGCTGTGTTTGTTCACATTTCCAGCATCCGCACTATTTTGCTTTTAAGTTCATTCACATACTGCCTTTCATGATCACTGGCCATCCCAGCATTTTTCGGCCAATTAAGTATGTTTGATGTATAGTCAGTATTGTAATGCAGAAATTACCCATGACTTCAATCCCCACTGGTTGCTGTATAGGGTTGCATTTGAAGTAGTGAGCCGCTAAGTGGGAAAAACAGCTTCTGCTTAGGAAGACCCCACCACCTTCTCAGGCCAATTAAGGGATGGATAATAGTTGCATCTGTACCAATAGTACCAACAGCACTGATACTTTGAGGAAAATAATGGAAGTGCAACTCTACACATAAAGTGTAATTCCAGATCAATGGTTCCCAACCTTTTCAGTATCAAGGCACGCTTCAATGAAACAAATAGTACGTGTCGAATGTCTGCGCATGCATTGTATTGGAAGTCTGTGCACGTGGCTTTGGAGGCGTGTACATGTACCGTCAATAAGAGTGCCTGATGTTGGCGGATAACGCCTTCAATAACAGAAACAGACACGGGAGGAGATGAGAAGCCTAGATAGGGCCCGATGCTCAGTTAAAGCGGTGCTGCTTGCCTAAAATTTCATGGCACACTTCTTACTGTGTCACTGCACACAGTTTAAAAGCACTGCCCTAGATTACTGCTAATGAATTAACAGAATTTTGTATTTTTTTAAATGCATTTTTTAGTTGAAGGCCACTCTGGGTGTCCTATCATCTGTATTTAAAGTTATGAGTGCATAAGCAGATTAGGTAGTAGAGCCACAAAAAGGTTTACTTGTTTGTAAAATGCTATGGTCGTGCAGAATGGTGCCCTCTTCATAGAACGGCAAGATATGATAGGAACCTTGCTAAAAAAAGTTAATGTTTCTGCCAGTATGTACTAGGAGACTTGCTCTTGTCCTGTGGCTTCATTTCTGAGCGTGAATGTGACAAGTATTGTCCTTATGAATGCCACCTTTGGTTGGATGTATTGCTGGACGCGTCATCGTACGAGCTCCTTATTTTCCTCTTTTCCCGCAATACTCTTGCCACGTGTCAGCTGACGTCACATTCACACAGCCCTTCCAAGCCAATCTAATGTGGATGCTTGTCTTCATTACCTGATCGGATTAATATTGATGGTAATTCTAACAGCTTTGCTCTATTCCTTACAACAAGTGAAGGACATGATCAAAGAATTCAAACTTTTTTTTATTGTACCTTTGACTTTCTTCCCCTTGGGCTGCTCACAAACATGTCCTGGAAATTGTTTTTTCAAGTCTTTAGACGTGAGGGCAGTCCTGGAGGATTGGCAACCCTGATTGTGCAACAAAATGTGATTGTGGAGATATTTCTTTAAAACTTGCAGTAATTCACAGTATAAATGTTATGGCTATTTTGGAAGAAAAAAGCACCCTTATCTGTAATGATGTTGGCACTAAGCCCTATAGACTCTGATTCAGGGCCAAATTTCTGCTAAAGGAACATCTTATATGAGATGTTGGGAATCGAAAAATGCCTTGTAGTTGGCTTCAATATCTGTAGACTCTGCACCGGGCTAAACAATCCCTTGTTCCTGTTCTTGATTCCTATCCAGCGTGCCAGGTTGAGAAATGCTTATGTGTGAGCTTTGAGATGGCCTACCTGTGGGTTAGAGATACTAGCCCTGGTACCACCACCTCTGTTGAGACTCAGACATGAAGAACACCCACTAACTATGATGTACTAGAATAATATTTTCACCTAGTAGAGATGTATCTCTTTCAGACAACAACCAGACGAGAGACCAGTTCCGAATGCCTGTACTAAAGGCTCAATTAAAAGCTGGGTTTCACCTCACTTGCTATTGATCACAACATAGGGAAGAGTTACAGGGAAAAGACAGGAGAATGGGTTGAGAAACATATCAACCATGATGGGCTGAATGGCTTAATTCTGCTCCTATTATCTTATGGTCTTCCAATCTAAGTGGTTAACTTTGTCCCTTAGATGGTGTAATTAAGAACCAGAACTTGTCCTTTGATCTGTGAGTGACAATCTCAGTGCTGTCAATAGGCTTTGTTGCTAATATTCAGTTTTTTTCCATACTTGGATGTATATTGAAAACATGTTGGGTTGTTCCTGTTAGAGAAGTCCCCTTGCCTTTGACAAATACAGCTGCACTTCTGGTCAGCTGTATTCATGAGGGTTTCATCATGTGACTTCCTGTCTCCAGCTAGTAATCTAAGAACTGTCAGAGGAAGTGGTGGAGGATTACAACATTTAAAAGGCATTTGGATGGATATATGAACAGGAAAGGTTTAGAGTGATATGGGCCAAATGCTGGTAAATGGGACTAGATTAATTTAGGATATCTGGTTGGCATGGACATTTGGACTGAAGGGTCTGTTTCCATGCTGTACTTCTCTATGACTCTAAATAACAGATGGTGGAACTTAAAATAAGTTAATAAAGCTTGGCCAATAAAAGTAGTCTTTGTAACGATGAGCATATGAACTGTTGTTAAACAGCTGTTTCACCAATGCACTTTAGTGAAGGAAATTTGCCATTCTTTCATGGTCTGGCATACATGTGGCTCTGAACCCATGGCAACGTGATTGACTTTTAACTGAAATGGCTGAGTAAGCCCATCAACTGATAGGTACTCAGGTACTTTTCTCCCAGCTTCAAAACGGCAAGCAAACCCCAGGTAGACAGAGGAATTGCTTCAGTGATACCCTCAAGGCCTCACTGGCGAAGTACAGCATTCCCACAGACACCTGGGAATCACTGGCCCAAGACCGTGCAAAGTGGAAGCAGAGCATCCAGGAAGGCATTGAGCACGTCGAGACTTGCCGTTGGAAAAAGAAGGAAGCCAGGCGAAAACAGCAAAGGGAATGCACTGCTATATCAATGCCCCACCCACCCTTCCTGTGACTACCATCTGCCCCAAGTGTAACAGAGCCTGCGGTAGCCACATTGGTCTGTACAGCCACCTACAAACTCACCCTGAGAGGGGAAGAGAGTCATCCTCTTCTGCAAGGGACCAGTGATGAATGAGTTAGGGATGGGCAACAAATGCTGAACTTGCCAGTGATGCACATATTCCATAAAAGAATAGAGCTAGTTTTAATTCCATCTGATGGAACTAGGGTTAATCCTAGAGAGTTGGCAAACTTTTTATTGATCTAACGAAGAAGTGACTGATACCCTGTGATGCATTTGCTTCAGTTGTTTATTGGACTTCAGCAATCTTCAGTTTTTAAAAATTTATTCATGAAATGAGGGCATCACTGGCTAGGCAGCATTTATTGCCCATCCCTAATTGCCCAGAAGTCAGTTAAGAGTTAACCACATTGCCGTTGGTCTGGAGTCAAAAGTAGGCCAGACTACTAAAGGACGTTAGTGAACCAGATGGGCTTTTCCTGACAATCAGCAATGGATTCATGGTCATTATTAGATTCTTAATTCTAGATTTTTTTTAAAAAATTGAATTCGCATTCCACTATCTGCTGTAGTAGGAATTAAACTCTGAATTAATAGTTCAGAGATAATAACACTGCGCCATTGCCTCTGAGCTTCATGGAGATTTAGTGCTCAACTAAGAAAAAAAACATTGTCCATTGATTTCCAAAACCGTCAACATTTGTGCATGCCTTGTGAAGTGTCTCTTACAATGCTATTTTTCCCTTTCCTGTTGCAGAAGCAGAATGATGCGAGGTGGCCACCTTCAAAGAAAAGGAATGATGCTGTGGTTTATTTCTGGCTGAAGAAAGTCTTCGACTGTTTTGGGGCCTAAATCTGCCTGTCGCTGCTACTCGGACTGATCAAATGCTGTTATGGGAGACTGCAGCTGTGGTTCAAACACTTGGTTTTATGTGTGTGTGCGTGTGTGTCATGGCACTGTTACTGTAAATAGACAGTGACATAACTGATGCAGGAAGGACAAGGTGCCCACCTGCATTTTTAGCACCCAGCAGTTGCCACAGTCAAAGAATTCACTTCAGTGCACGAAGCTCTTTGTAAGTGACCGGTCAAAGAGCAAACTTTTAACATGTTTGTAAAATTATGTCATTTATCAGGTGAATCCATATTGAGATAATTGTGATGGTGGTGGTGCTGACGTTCGATGTTTGAAACAGAGCCAAGCACTGAGATATTCTTGTTGGGCCATCATTCCTCATCAGGAAGAAACCTGTTTGTAAAATCATTTCCTAAATCTCTGCTTGCACAAGGAATGAGACCAGCATCAGTTTAATTTTTACTTTCTTGATATTTAACCTGTTTTTTTCTACTTCCCTCCCCTGAACCATTTTCCCCCAAATCTCCCATTCCCCCTCATTTTGTATCTGTGCTTCAGATGGCACTTTATGTATGGAACAATGGGCAATTAAACCAATTCCCATCTACAGATAGCAATGGCAATTAATGGCTGTGTGGCAAAGTACAGCATGCACCAATAAGTGAATTATCAGCCACAAAGTAGAGAGTAACCTTGCAGGACATGTTAGTGCAAGGACAGTGAAGTGAGGCGGTTAGATCCCCTGATCTTAATGACATCTCTTAATGTCAATAGAGCTCTTGAACCGGGTTTAAAAAAACATTAAGCATTTCTTTTAGAGCCTCATGCCACTCACTTTATGTGGGACAGGATATACCAAAATGGCATTTACAAGAAGCATTATTTTGGAAAGTAATTTTTACTAGGGTTACAATGTAACTGGATTCACTTGGATGTCCAGTTAAGCATTTGGTATTTAAGCAGCAACAAATAGGTTCACATTTTATTCAGTGGCATGAACAAGGGGCTAGTTCTGTGCTCGACAGAATGGGAATTGCCCAGGAAATAACATGCAGGCAGGACTGTATTAAGTTAAAAAATATGTATATGTAATGTGGGTGTGTGTGTGTGTATTAAACAGTTATTGTCCCTATGAGAAACCAAAAAGATATAATTTTTTTTGCTAAAGGCAGGTCTTTATCAAAAGACTCGAAAAAGAAAGGAAGGATCTGTGAGAGGGGAGAGAGATAGTAGGATCTGCCAATGCTGGAGAATCTGAGATAACAAGGTGTAGAGCTGGATGAACACAGCAGGCCAAGCAGCATCAGAGGAGCAGGAAAGCTGACGTTTCGGGTCTGGACCCTTCTTCAGAAATCTGTGAGATGGGATCTGTTTGGGTTATGGTAGGACACATGGAAAAATGAGCAGGTTTTAAGGCAGAACTGTTGGATTATCAGATTGGTGCTACTGAGAAGCTAAAGCTGGGAAAGATGGTTCTAGACTTATTGCACTCAGCTAGCCCTTTCTTCTGATTGCTGAATGTATTCCGTAGTTGATGTTTGACCGAGAGATAACCCTGCTTTCATGCAAAACTAAAACTTGTTTCTGTGAAGAAACTGGTGGGGAGGCAGGTACATGAAGGGCTTTTGCACCATGAGCCCTTAATTTACCAGATTAGATTCTCAAATGATTTAATAGTTGTTGCTGATGGCAACATTTTTCTTCTTTGGTTAACCATTATCTGGTCTTTTCAAAAGTAATTCTTATATTTTCAGATCCCTTCTTCTTTCTAGATAATGGGATGGAATTAGTAATTATGGAACTGTTGCCCTTCTTTAAATGTTTTATTGTAAGGCTGACAGCATTTCCTGGTGAGTTGCCTTTGTCTGTTTCTATGTGATTGTGTTGGATAAAGACAGTTCCCTCCTATATTTGTGAAATTCAGCGGCAATATTTGATTTGAAGCTTTAGTCATAATTTTGATGCTTTTAGTTGTTGGTAGAGTAAAACGCCCCTTGGCAGAGCAAATCTTATGTCACTCCACATCCTTTTAGTAAACCAGCAGTTCATCTAATCCACAATGAGAATTTTATCAAAATAGCAATCAAGATTATTGCTAGAATTGCAACATGTTTGAATTCCGTTGTCAACAATTGGAATTTAAAGCTACTTTTGTCAGAAACCCAAATCCAGTTCTGAAAGTCATGCAGTTTTGGATTGAGGATTAATTTTACTTGCAACAGTAAGATTTCCTTCAAAGGCAGTTGGTCTAGTGAGGTTGTGGAATGGGTAACTCAAGTATACAGATGAACAAGGCTGCTAGGTTTTTCCCACGCCACCCAGTCAAAGCTCGGACTTTCGTAGATGGCTACAATTTGAAGCCTAGTGTTCAAGAGGGTAATGACACTCAATATTTCACCTCTGGGTTACTATTCAGTGATTCTCTGTCGGAAGTACATAATTACACGTTTCAATGAGGGTGGATCCTGATTATATGTTCTTTCTTTCCTCCCCACGCATCTGCTGGGACTAATGTGCAGGCATAGTGACATACTGATATCAGTAAAAGCCGTCATAAATATGTCACGTCGTTGTAAAACAAAATGTCCTTTAGGGCAGGGAACTTTGCTATCCTTAGCCATTCTGTCCATTGGGTGACTCCAGTCCTGGGTCAATTGACTGCCCCTGAAGCAGCCTCACAGTCTGTTGTGTCAATCTGTTTCACTTAAGGACGCACCACTGCCATTACGATCACGTTCTGGCATCATCTAATGATGGATAATAAAATGCTTGCTGCTCAGCAATGCCAACTATGATTAAAAATCCAAAATGGCCACCTTGGCAAGGTTTATGGTCAACCATAGAAAGCTGGCTGTTGAAGAGTCACTTGCTTCATGAGGGGGAGAAATTGGGAAGGAAAGACCAAAGCCTTGCAGGCACGTCAGACCAACCGGTCTTATTTTAAGCTGGGAACAAACTAAGATAAATATGAAACAGCAAGCAGGCGGTTGTGCCACTTACAACCTTTTGGTATGTAACAGATTATGGATGAAATGCCTGCTTATACTGGTCAACAAGAAAATGCACTACACTTTAAAGTGACGCTCACCATCACCGAAAAATTAGACATATAAGAGGAATGAATTGAGTTGGCCATCTGAGGTGTGCTTTGGTGAAGGAGGTACGTTATGCCTCCCGCCCTATATTTTTAATACTGATGGGAAGTATGATTATCAGAGGAAGTGATGTAGTATGACATGGCATTTAGTTTAAAGGAGAAAATAAAGCTTTCTGTAATATATTAGGGAATTAACGTAGGGAATGCTTGGGAGTAAGTTACAAGACTGAAGGCTAATTAAGGGGATTGACTTATATATATTTATTAATCTCCATTGAACCCTGACATTAATTTCTAGCACTTGTTTAATGATCAAGGAAAGAAAGTTTTCATTTATTCCTCCCCGAATTTTACATTTCTTTCAGTGTTCTGACAACCACATTCTTAAAAAGAATTTATGTGATGTGGGCTTCACACGGAAGGCCACTCTTTGTTGCATGTCCCTAATTGCCCTTGAATCAGGTGGCTACTGTTTAGAGTAAGTTAAGAATCAGCCACATTGGAAAGACATTATTACTCATTCCTAATTGCCCTTGAGAAGTTGTTGGTGAGTTTCTTATTGACTACAACTCAGTGGCTTGCAAGGTCTATTTGGAGTGCAGGAAATAGTCAATGCCATGACATTGTCGCCCTGTCTTTAACTGGAAAATGATTGGTGAAGCATTTCCGCCAAATCCTATGCACACTACAGTGTTCACAATGATGGAAAAAAAGCCACAGGCTCTTTCTGTATAAATGGTTTTGGCCTTTTTCTTTCCATACCTATACCTGATGGTATGGAATTGGAATAAATATAAACAAGAATATGAGCAAAGCAGTTTTAAACTCTAAGAGCAATAGATTCCTGGAAAAGTTAGCAAATAAAGAAGTTCTGAATTGTTCTTCACTGTTGGTGAACAGCATTATGTCTGTTAGTAAGCACACTTGCGTAAATCTCACTCCTTTGTCAGCATATCCTTGCTCTGTTATTCAATATTTTTTACAGATCAAATTGTTTAAAATTCACTAATTTGAACTGCAAACATCAAAATCAGGCTGGGCTTTTCGCCAGCAGCTTGTTCAGTGCAGTTAAACTCTGATCTGGTAAATTACATTCAGCAAAATATACCCCCAGGGTTTGTCTTTTATTCAACACTATTTGGTAATCTTAACAAGATATTGCAGTTGGCTTTGGTGTTCCTGAACAAGGATGGGGAAACAGCTTTTTGCAGGTTTCCTCTGCCTGATTCCAGTTGTCTATGCTGGAACATATGGACATGCAGATGCTGAATAAAGTTCGAATGAGTTCAGTATTTATTCACTCTCCTTCTCTGGCTGAACAAACTATCTCAACAATTTTTATTTGTGTAATGTCTATGAGGTAGATAAACATCCCTCCACAGGAGTGTAACCGTACAAAATGTAGCTCCAAGGCACATAAAAAACAAATAGGTGACAAAGGAGTGTGGTGAAACAGGTGTGCTTTACGAACGGTCTTAAAGAAAGTAGTATGATTCAGGGAATTCCCAAGCCGTTGGCCTAAGCAAATGGAAAATGGTTTTATTGAGGCACCAGATGGACATTTTGGCTCACCAGAAATGTGTGACTTGTATAGATCAGCATAGTACACTTCAGCAGCAGTATACTGCTGTACAATATACTGGATGGGTAGTGAGGGGGAAGGGGGTGGTGTGGAATATGAAACATTTCACTTTTTATTTTAAGTTGTTAAGCATGCATGTTCTGTTCTGTTCTGCTCCAGGATGCTGTTGATTGCTAATGGCCTGGTTTTGTCTTTATAGCTGAGCAGTTGCCTTGTGCTTTCAGGGAGAGAAACTTCTGCCAGCTTCCTCCTGCTGTCTGTATACTGTGTCATTGTGTGAGGATCTGCTCAGTCTCACTTGATAGCCAGCTTTAGTCCATTAGCAATTGTGTAATACGGTGATGCCAAATGGCTGTGATGTTGCATTGCTCTTGTGTATGAATCCAAATGCCTTTTGATCGTCTATGTGCTTTTATTTTAATTTGAACTTGAGTTTTGAATCTGAAAACTAAGTTGCTGTGGATACCACTGTTTTGTTTCATTCTCTCTCCAACCTGGTAAGGGAGACCATGATGGTTGCTGGTTCTCACAAACCCTTCCTCCTTGCCTTAGAACAGCTCCCTTCCCATACCCCTAAAAAAGCCTGAAAGATTTTGTATTCAGTGTTATTTGCGTAAAATCCAAGTATTAAAACACTGTGACATTTAGCCCCGCAAAGTTGTGATTCATAGGGGTGAAATTGTTGCGTTGCGTGTATGTCTGGAGAGGCTGGGGGCAGAGCGGTGGAGGCGGGGAGCAGCACTACATATTGTATATATTGAACGTCATTTTAGGTTTGCTTGCAAAAATGACAAAGGTAATGTAGTGTTTTAATTGAGAATAGTGTATTTGCTCCTTTGTCCGTTTTGTTTGAAAGTTAGCCACAACTTTGCAGTTCTAGGAAATAAATATGTACCAGACTAATACAACCCTCTTACACAGGAGTGTCAGAACATGGAGTAGTCAGTTTAGTTTCTTCTGCCCACCTGCTAGATTCTGGGTGATGTGCAGCTCAATTCCTCTGAAATATGTTCATCCCACACTCACTCACCTAGTAAAAATCTACTGACCGCTATCTTGAGAACATCAATTTTGAGGGAAAGAATTCCACACTTCCACTACCTCGTATGTGGAGGGAAAAAAAGGTGCTTCTTAATTTCACTCTATCTCTAATTTAAATATTTTGTCTTCTGTCCTTGATTTCTCCCACCAGAGAATATCATTTCCCTTTATATCTGTTCAAATCCATTAATTATTTTGAACACTTTGATGAGATTGCTCCTCAAGTATCTAAACTCAAGGGCATATAGGCTGTGATTGTGTGCCTCCTAATCATTTTATCATTCAACCCTAGCAACATTCTGGTGTGCTATATCCAGTCCAATGCCAATATCTCCTTCTTAAGATCAGAGCCTTATACAAAAATTGCCTACTTCATATCCAACTCACAGCCCATGCTACAAGATACTTCCTACTTTAGTGGGCTTTTATTTCTGTTCACACATTGTGCATAATCTTTTCAAATGGCTTGTGGCAGTCCACCATAATAATGAATTCTATATTTTGTTTTTTCTCTATAAGTCACCACCAAATCACTTATTCCTAATTAAAATAACAAGCACTACTCACTATGGGCAGTACAGCAGTATAAGATTAGGAGAAGGTAGAAAGAGAGGGAGACAAATATAATGAACTCTTGATACAATGTCACCTAAATTAGACAGTTAATTTTACCAGTCCACCTTGATTCTTTTGTTGTGTCCCTGATAATAGATTCCATTCTCTCCAGAATTAACTGGTCCATAGCTTCTTGGTTTCATTAATACTTAGTTGAGTGGGAATTTACACTTTTTCAAGTTGAAGCCACTATATTCAAACTTGCATTACACTGGGAAATTCTGACCAATGAATCTACAGTTGCTGCACCTTTTCCTTTAATACCATATGTTGGAATCAATCAATTTCTGTAACTTATCTAAAGTCCTATTATTTTACCCAGTACACTTTTATAATTTGTACTAAATTGATAAATTCCTCCCCAGGCCACACTTTTAGGTTCTCTTTTGAACCTTTGGCATTTGTCCTTTCCTCAGTGGACACTAGATGTTCATTTAATGCAGTCTTTCATTCTAGTCTTACCCGCATCTGTCATTGATGGCGGCATTCTCCTTTACCACTCCTCTTTTTTTACTGTGCTAAAAGAAATGCTGTTAGCTTTGGTATTTTTCCACAACTTCCTTTGAAATCCATTGTTGCTTTTTTGAGCTCTGCCAGTCAGCCTTTTTGGACTCATAAGTTTGTCTGCTTGTGTGATGACTAGTCACTGGATTGTCAGCTTTTCCAACTGTGGTGCAATGTCTTATGCCAGAGAGGGTGCAGCCACCAGGAGACAGCATTATCAAATCTACTGATGGTGGCTGAGATGGACAAATCCCGTAGAATGATATCAAGGCACACTTCACTGAGTACTGTTATTTTGCACTTGGTAATGACATTATACCCAGATGGAATGAATTTTGAGCTTTTTCTGTTTGATTTACTTTTCATTAACACTGAGTTATAATTGTCTACATGTTGAGCTCCTTGTTCCTCAAGGCAAGAACTCTTATCTCAGAAAGAGTGAGGAAGGAAGAGCAATTGAACATGGAAAAAGAAGGCACTTCCTAATGTTCAAGCCCTTTGCACACAGTTACTCCATCGAATGTCTCCGGTACAAACTTTTAATAGAAGAAAAGATTCTGGGGATGTTGACTTGGATTCTTCATAGTAAGTTATTAAATAAAACAATCCTGGGATGAAGCTGACCGTTGCACCTTCCCTACCCTGTCAACCCCAGGAAGCTGCTAAAGCAAAGTGTATTGCCAAGGCCTTGGAACTACCCTTTGATGATAGGCTGTAGGAACCAGCAAAAGCAGTCAATAGTGAATCTTGCCCTCAAATGGATTTGATCATCGTTGAATTGTAAAATGCATCCTCCAACAGCTGTGTTTGTGTATTTTATATTACTAGTATACTTTGATCTATTAAATTGAAAAAAAATGCTAAATTATTTGATTAAAATTTTCAAATAAATCTTGACTGGTTTCTTTTTAATTTCCAAGTTCCTTTTTGAATTATTGCATTTGCTTTTGTATTTTCCTTCCAATGCATTCAGCTAGATTGTTGAGCCCACATATGGGAAAAGGTATGCTGCTGGAGCCCACAAGAAACTATGTGCCATCCAATATACATTCTCTTCCTTGTAGCAGTCTGTAAATGTTTTGAAAAAAGTTGCATTGATATAGTGCCAGCCACCTCAGTAATTGACCACTCTTACCCCTCTGGCTCACATAACAATATTGGTTACAATTTTTCGTGATTGAGGAAGCCGCTCCATTTTTGTATGTATATTTATTTTGTATATCTGCTTCAAGGGAGCTGTCCCACCATAACCTTGTTAGGTCAAGGGGCATAAATACAATCTTCCTTATGCCACTCATTATCCAGAGAACAAAATTGTATCTCTCCAGAAAATTACAAAAAAGGAAAAAGTCCAATTGTGCTCAATGATCTATTTCCAATCCATAATCACTATTTCTTGAGTCAGGTGGAACAAGGCTACTAAATCAACAACAGCTTACATTTATATTTAACATTTTATAATGTCCACAGGAGCAATTACCAAAAAAAAAACTTGACATAGATATGTGTAAAGTTTGGTCAATTTTGGTCGGCATGGCCCCGTTTGGGCCAAAGGGTCTGTCTCCATGCTATAGGACTCCATGACTCTACAATTTTTATATACTTAATACTTTTTAGACCAGGTTAGATAAGCTTACTGAAGAAGGGTCATGTTGGACTCCAAAAGTTAACTTTGTTTCTCTCTCTTCACAAGTGTCAGACCTGCTGAAATTCTCCAATACATTGTTTATATTTCAGATCTCCAGCATTGCAGGAGTTTGCTTTTGTGTTGGATAGATTATTGACAGACCCGGGGAGGGGCTAGACAGAAAACACAGGAGGTGAGCCATGATTTTATGAAATGTCAGATCAAGTTTGAGGGACTGAACAGTCTACTTCTAATTCATATGTGTTTATTAGTATGTAAAAAGTGAAGTACAGTGGACTAGAGAGAAATGTTCAGGCTTTAAGGTGATTGAAGCAACAGCCTCTGATTTTTAAAAAAAAAAACTCAAATGCACAAGAGGCTAGAGTTGGAGGAGCAGAGATCGGGGTGGGTTGTTCCAGACACCTGGTTCACCCAGGTATTGCACAGTAGTTCCAAGTGGCTTCACACAGTTGCTTGAAGGAAATCCTTACAGTTCTACCGGGGAAATACTTCTGAGTATAGCACAGTGTATTGAGGAACAGGTCGATTTAGTAAATATGGATTGTGTTTGAAAGGCAGAGACCACAATGTTTTTCCTTGAGGGTGAAACTGAGTTAAAACTCAAGAAAATGTTTGCAGGTCCCAGTGGATTCACCCCTTTGTTTTGCTCCAGATATTTGTATGGTGTGCTGTATGTAACACCTGAAGAAGGAGTGAGGCTCTGAAAGCTTATGCTTTCAAATAAGTCTGTTGGACTATAACCTGGTGTCATGTGATTTCTGACCTTGTCCACCCCAGTCCAACACTGGCACCTCTGCATCATTTCATCCAATAATAATTGTGCTAAGGTATTCACATGATACACACCCCTTCTCCCCTGTAACATAAGAAGAAAATGGGTCTTGATAATGCTCTCTCCGAATTCAGAGTTAGGTTATAAGATGTTTTAAAGAGACAGTTCTTTGTTCCATTTGTACATCAGCTATAGAGCTTTAGATTCCAGGTTTTGATGAACTACACCCAAAGGAAGCAAACCCACTGATCCTGGTCTACACTACTTTGTAGGTTGCTGTAAATCATTTGGTGCCAAACACTAGATGACCTAATAACTATCCTGTTTAAAACAAAGCTTTTTTTATTGGTAAAGTATAATTAATTTTGTAGTGCCGTGAATCACAGTGTACACAAGGTATGGTTTCATAGTCCTGTGCTGATTTCGTAGCTGCTGGCAATGAATTCCAGCCAATCAGGCTGTGCGTTGGTTTGCTTGCTGAAACTGCTGAGCTGCATCACTTGGTCTGATAAGTAAGTGTATCTGCTTACACATGCCCAGCCTGTACACAAAGCCGTACTCTGTTGACTGTCAAACAATAACTGTGTTCGTGCCATAAGAGGCCCATGAAGAACAGAATAAAATAAATATACAATTACTAATTATACAAATGACAAGCCTGTCATGTACATCGAAAATGACTCTTACTGTTCTTAAGAGAGCCAATTAGGAGATTTAAATATTCCAGATAATCTAGGCTGCCCCTCCAGTGCACTACTCAGGAAATCTTTTAATTGAGATGTTTAAACGCACTTGTGTGGATTTAAAATATCCCTTGCAGTATTTTAAAGAAAAGTTGGGGAGTTCTCTGCGGTGTCTTGGTCAACATTTACATCTCCAAACAACATCACTAAAAACATTATCTGGTCACAATCACATTGCTGTTATTGGAGACTTTGCAATATATGCAAAGATTTCCTACATTGAAAAACTTTTAAAAGGTGTTTTGTTGGCTGTATACAGCTTTGGAATGTCCTGAGGTGTTGAAAGGCTCCACATAGATGTGAGTTACTATTTTTGTTCTTTAGCTAGTTACTGAATTTCAACTGAAATTATGAATTACTGTAATTTTGAATTACTGTAATTTTTTAAGTACTTTAAAATTATAGAAAGTAATAAAAAAAACTTTATTATTCCTTTTGAAAGTGATGCACAAAGCTGACTATTTTGTCTTTAAGAATCATGCCAACAGGCTTAGAAGGGAATGCTGCAGGAGGCCTCCTGTCTTTGCTTTAACAAATACCAGAAGCAGCAGCACTCTGAGGGGTTGTGCTATTTCCTTTCTGTACTTATTTGCAATTCTGTGCCAAGCATTTCCCCCACCCCCCACCCTCTTAAATGCCTCTCTCTCCCATCCCAGCCCTAAAAACATACAACTGTTTCCATCCTGTCCCCATTTTCCACCACTTTCCTTCTCAAAACCGAGTGGGGCTTTATGCTCACAGACTGGATGAGCCTTGCATTACAATGTGCACATCTGTGCCAACATCTGAAAGTACTTACATGGAAATTAGAGATGACATTGAGGGGAAGCTGGAAAGAAAGGCCAGCACACATCCACATGACTGGGATGAAAGTAGAGAGAGAGAGACTGTGTTGGGGAGAAGCAGCTGTCTGGCAATGCTTACATGTTGGAATATTGCTGCTGGCTTTGTAATTCAGTACCATGTATTTACACTGAATACTGGTAATTTGTCTACAGAGCTTACATTCCATATGAATCACAAAATAGAAAGGCATAATACAAAATTAAAGGAAAAACATAGCAGGTCTGGCAGCATCTGTGGAGAGAAAACAGTTAACATTTCATGTCCTGTGACCCTGAGTTTTGTTTGTTTCAGATCTCCAGCATCTGCAGTTCTTTATTTTATTACAACTAAATTAAAGGCATTGGGTAACCATAATGACTGGGGAAAAAAAACTTTTGTTAGAACCTGTTGTTTAATGAGAGCATTTAAATCACACGATTCAATAATTAATTTACTGTAATATATTCAATATATAATCTTTAGTGGATAGCAAATATTCATCATTCTGCCATTCACACCTTTTATATGTCTCATTACCACTTCTGTTGCATTTTACCATCCGCCCATTTATATTTTATTTCTCCTGTTTTGCACTCTATCACAGATCTTTCCCACTGTTCTTTTCCCATTCACACCCTCTCCTTTTGCTTACTTGAAACTTGTTACATTTCCAATCTTCTTGATTTTTGATGAAATGTTAACTTCGTTTGTCTCCACAGATGCTGCTCAATGGGCTGAACATTTCTCGCATTTTGTGTTTTCTTCTGCAGATTAAACTAACAGCTTCTCCCTATCCTCTTCTTTTTTGGAGCCATGCAATCTTTGCTTGGACTCCACAGGTTCCAGTATCCCTCTGGTACCTCATTGACACGACAATTCTTAAAAACATGAATTTAGAGAGCGAATGTTGAACTGCAGTGGCACCATGGGATTACCCCATTCCAGCTGGGATCAGTAAACCTCCAGTTGAATCCTGCATTTTTTAACCTCCCTTCCTCCCAGGGATATTGACATAAATTAAGGTTACCTGTTTTGGTAGAGAAATTCTGGCTGTGTTTCATAGAATGTTAATCAGCTGAAGGTCCAATGTAGGTCTTGTAAAAAATGGTAAGTGTATTGTGGGGAGATGGTGGTGTAATAGTAATAGGACTGGACTAATAATCCAGTAATGGACTAGTAACCTCAGGTCAGGGCTCTGGGTATGTGGGTTCAAATCCTATTGTTGCCAGCTGGTGAAATTTGAGTTCAATGAAATCTGGAATAAAAGTTCGTCTAATGGCGTCCATTTGACCACGATTGATTGCTGTTAAAAAAAAAGATTCACTGATGCCCTTTAGGGAAGTAAATCTGCTATACTTACCTGGTCTGACCTATGTGATATTCCAGACACAGCAGTGTGGTTGACTTAACTGCCCTCTGGGCAATTAGGGATGCAGCCATACCCACATCCCATGAACAAATAAAAAATAGCTAGGAAGTCCTAATCCAGTGTTAATCACAATTTGAAGTGTAGAATTTAGCAGACCAAATAACCAGGCACAGTACAGACTAGAGTGTCAGGAAAGTGCTTGGAAGGTCCAATTGCATTCCAATTCCTAATCTTCTGTTTCTACAGTAAGTATTAGCGTGTGGTGTGAACATTCAGAGTATACTTTCCCATGTGCTACAAATTGCTAGAAGTATCACAAAAACAGCTTCAGGCATTGAAAATACCAGCAAGTTGAATGTTTAACTTAATAAAGTTTCCAAACTGCTTGCTGTTGCCTTCTTATGAGCATAGTTGGACAAAACAAAAAGACAACAAAAGGAAAAATAAAACTGGATTCTGGAAATCTGGAAACTCTCAAAAGAATATACTGGAAACACAGAGTGGTTCCATCCAGATTACATCAAAGAAGGTACA